CTGATGTGATCATACCGTATATCCCAGGACCTGCGTGACCTGAAAAAGCAAAAGAGCGATCATTAGCACAAAAATCACACTTTACATCAGCTTTCGTGAAGCAAGGCAGTTTGTCTGCCAGCATTCTGTGGAGAACACATCATCTGCCGAAATTATCCTAGGGGGGTCCGCACCACTAGTTTCTTTGGTGGTGCCCCGGATAGCAGCTGGCGTTCCGAGGCGACCGCCACCCGCCCCTGTGGATGTAGCAGCCGCGGTTAAACCGCCCACCCTGAACACGGCCCCACCAAAAGCCCCTGCGAACCCTGGAAGAGCCAGGGTAGCACACATATTAAAGAGACCCCATCTACCTCTGGCCCGTTAGGCACGAAGGCTTCGTCCACCGTGGAGAAGAGTACTCTACGTAGACGACTGTCTGGCACTCCTGCAGAGGAGATGGAAACCACCGGTTCCCCGCCCCAGACTGCACCGCAAAAACGGTGAAAACATCCCAACCGCTCCAAAAGAGACAAAACGCTAATATCTGAGGCTTCCAAAGGCTTTTTAAATAAACCACTTCTTTTAACTTCTACTCCGTGCACACAGCACATTTTACTCTCAATACGACAACACAAAATGTACAATTTAACGTCAGAGGACTGCTTCGATACCTCGACGATGTCCATGAACTTCTGCCCAAACATTCAGCAAAAGTTTTGGGTGTACAAGAAACACAGTAATACCCATGAACACAGACTTTCAGCCTCAATACGTTATATTCTGAAAGGACAAAAATGATGCTGTGGCGTTCTCTGGCAGTATAGCCATTGATGTTATTCTATGAGTAACATGTACACATCTACCATTCCTAACACTTCTAGAGGCAGTGGCTCTTACAGCAGTTCTATCGTATAAACTCGTCACTATCTGCTCTATACACATGTCCCCTCACACCTCCTTGAAGAACGGAAATTACAGTCTTTATTAGAAGAATGACAAAATATAAAATTTTATCTGGTCTTCGTGGACCAGAATTCGCATAGCAGTATATGGAGTCACTCTCGCTTTGACGCACGACGTCGCCTAACTGAGCAGTTCCTCTTTCCTTGCGGTGCGTGTCTTTTGAATAGAAAACATCCAACACACTATAGCCTCGCCAATAATACTTTCAGTGTTCTTTTCGGAAGTAATGGCTTTCTCACAGATTCGAGCTCACCAGTTTCAAGTAATTGTCCTCCACAAGTTCTTTATTGGCTCGTAGATAAAGCCGTTGGAAAAAAGTTTCGTAAGAATACTTGTCTAAGTTGGACCGACATATCAAGTTGGAGCAAAGACGCAACTGTAGAGTACTTTACAAATTTTCTAAATGACGCTATAACTCAATACAAACCGCAATCATGTGTACTGCCATCCAAACGGCGTGCCTTATGGTAGAACAATGAGTGCTGCAATGTGCACCGGAAGCATAATAAAGCATGAAAATTGCTTCGGGACTCTCCGAGAGCAGAGAGTCTTACAATTTATAAAAACATATAGCACCCAGAGAGAAGGAAGTGCGGGCAGGAAAGCTAGCAAATAATTTTTTTTTCAGATATTACTTCCTATACACAAGAGGGCAATGTCTGAAACAGGGAGAATAAGGTGATGGGAAGACAAGTGCATTCACTCTTCCTGTAAACACCCAAACAGAGTGCTTGAAGGACCAGGCTAACTTCCTTGGTGCCTAAATCGAGCATGTCCCCAGCTCATCGCACTACTCTCAAGAGTTCTAACACTACGAGACGAGAGTGGAGAAACATGAACTGGAACGCTAATGTACAATATACGAGGTGCACAACCAGCCTTTTAGCTTGGCTGAGCTTCAAATATCGCTAAACAGCTGAAATAATTCTGCGCCAAGGTCTGGCCATGGGGTGTCTGAACTGTTAAAAGCTTACCTCCTGAAACACGACAAACCTTACTTTCTCTGCAGAATTTCATATTGGTCTCCGGTGAGATCCCTAGGTCTTGGAAAGAGGCTATTATATTAATTCTGATACATGAAGCGATCCGTCCTCCTTAGTGAGTTGAAGGTCGATCGCACAAACAAGTTGCCCGTGTAAGCTTTTCGAAAAGATTATTCACTTTCTGGAAACTAACTGTCTGCTCGACCTATGCCAGTGTGAGTTTCGTAGGGCTAGATCTACGACTGACTACTGCTACACATCAAAGCACAAATACGCGATGCTTTCGTTCATAAACATTTTTGTTTCTTTCAGTCTTCCTCGATATGGAAAAGGCGTATGATACGACATGGCACACTGCCATACTGCGAGACATCTCACACTTAGGTGTTCGAGGTAACATGCTGACGATAAATGAAAGCTTTTTGTTCAACCTCGCTTCTTGTGTCCAGGTGGGTAGTGTATTGTCACGAACATTTGTCCAGAATGATAATGCCGCAAGGTGGTGCCTTGAGTTGCACACTTTTTATTATAAAAATGAACACCTTACAATTCCACATTACACGCAATATGTTTTATATAGCGTATGTCGACGGTGTGCAGGTAGGTTTTAAATCTTACAATCTCCTATTGAGCAATCGGAAAGTTCAACAAGGTTAGAATATGGTCTTTAAATGGGCAGATGAGCCTTAATCCCCCAAAAAAGCATGTACTTTAATTTCAAAAAACAGAGGTCTCCATCCCAATCTCAACACTGACCTGAGCGATCAGTGACTAACTGTGAAACCTTGACACACTATTTTAGGCGCAATTTTATACACGAAAATAACGTTCGTCCGTCGCATAAAATGCATAAACAAACCAGTGCCTGAAGGCTTTGAATATACTCAAGGTACGGTGGCGGACTTATTGTGACGCTGATAGTAAATGCTTGTCGAATATTTATAAAAGTCTTATTCGCATGCGCCTAAAATATGGTGTGATAATCTGACAAGATACAACACCAAGCATCTAGCAATTACTTGACCCTGTTCACAATTTGTGCAGTCTCGTCTTTCCACGGGAGGTTTTCCAACTTGCCCCATGGAAAGCCTGTATATATATTCGAATGAGTGGTCGCTCCATCTGCAGCCATGTTACATACCTTTTGTAAATTATCCGAATGTGAACGTAAACAAAAAACTCCCATCATACACCACATTCAATGATATGCCCAGTTCTGCGCTGTTTGAAAACTGTTCCTTGTTTCCAGAGCCCTACTCGCTTCGTGTTAGACATGTAGCCAAAATAAAAAAAAATAGTGCGTTACTTGAACACCATCTGATGGCTCCAGCAGCTTACCTCGCACCATGGCGGTGGCAGTCTATAGATTACGACGTGTCTTTCCTAGAGGTTACGAACCACGTTCCCATTGTACAAATCCGTACATACTTCCTGGAACTTCAACACAACTACACGTGTACTGAGTTCTTTACAGGTGCCTCGAGGTCTTACTCTTCTGTGTCGTATGCAGTGGTTGGTCCATTCTTTCCGAAGGCCGGCGTTATGTATACAGATACATGTATCTTCACTGCAGAACTTTTTGTTACACTTGCCGTCATAAACATATTCAGCAATTAAAACTAGAGAAGGCAGTAACTTACACGAATTCCCAAGCGTGGGGAAAGCTCTGCCAACTCTTAAAAAAAAACTGCGGCATGTTCGCTCTTTATTCACTTTAATGCAAAGTCTACAAATACAAACAGCATGCCGTTGTTGCCAGGACACCGTAAAATTCAGGGTAACCTGATGGCGGACCAGCTAGCCACATCCGTCCATGACAGCGCTGATAATTTATTTATGCCTGTCCCAGCGCTCAACTTGAAACCTATGAACTGTCATTCCTACTTGCCCAAGTTTGCACGCTTCAAAACTACATGTAGTCGAATCATGCCTTGGTATTTGGCCACCAAAATTTGATTCACGTCACGGAGAACTTACATTCACAAGGCTAAGACAGGACATACACATAGCAAACATGCCTGCGTTTTGTGTGGTGGCGATTCATGCCTGTAATGTAGATGTGGTGGATTACTCACTGTCAACCACATTCTCATCAAATACCGTGAATTAGAACGTACTAAAAAGCATTTTTCGTTAGCATAGCGATAACACATTTCACTTCACCTGCGCATGCTCATTGAAAAAGAACCGTTTTGTAAATATCAGTCTTTTTTGTGTGTTTAGATAAAATTCATAGCTTTTACATTATTTATAAGGTAAATACGTAGCTTATAGATCACATCGCGTATCATTCTACTAATTTTATAGTTGATGAACATCTTTTACGCTTCTGCGTAGCGCCTAAACTTAGGCCTCTATACAGCCGTAATACACGCTATCATCACTATCATTGCTCATCGCCTACATCGCATAAAAGACATGGCGCTGTTTGGCCGCTTACTGCCCTTGCGCCAAAAATCTCCTCTGTAATCATCATCATCGTCATCATCATCATCATATTCATCATCATCATCATTATCCGTGAATATTTTTAACGTATAAGTGTGAATGATCTTTGTAAGGTTTTCCTGAAGAAATAAAACCTTAATTATGACCATTAACTTCGCCTAGAAGAAACGTCCTCATGTTTTCTATTTGATGTTTCATTTGAAATTGAAACTACTTCTAAACGTCAGACATATCCCGGACTTGCACAATCACTTAAAAATGCATCAAAATTTCGTATGGTTTTACGTTTACGTTTTGTTCTTAGCCAAAAGTGGCAAATCCAGGAACCTGTCAAGAACCAATGCCCTCTCGTAATTGTGCTATCCGTCATTGCCGAAAAAAAACGCTATGACTCTATTCTTGAGTCTCGTCCAGTAATTATGGCAGGAGACTGTAAGAAGTACTTCTGCCCAGCGTGCTGGACGTACCATGACATCCCTTCCACCAGACGTGTTCAGTTAATATTTTATAGCATTTTCGCTTTACTTATCTTTTATTTTGCGCCGAGAGATGGACATGAGAGTAAAAACACTTAACCTGTTCAAACACCAGAATGCTATCGATGCTTCTTTTTTTCTAGCTGGCAAGATGCTGAAGTTGGTGAACAAAGTGGACGGTCGCTGGGATATTGCTCTGCTGGCAGGACTTGTCAGCTTCTTTGGCATAACTACGAACCGAAACTCGGGATGGTTCTTTGTCGCCTTTATGGAAGACTTCAAGGTGGACCGAGGAAGCGCCTCTTGGCCCAGCAGCGTATTGGCCATCATGTTTCGATCGTCAGGTAACGCATGTCTCAATTGCAGTATTAGCTATAAATGCTGCGCAAGATACAACTACAGATACGTTGAACGCCGGCTCGCTTGCTGGCACTAACCGCATTGTTGAATGGCCTCGGATGCAAGAGATCCGTGATTCTAATTCCGGTGCTGGACAATTACCAACCAGATTTTTAAAAATTGGCGTGATTATAGAGTTGTATAAAAAAGAAGAGTTGTTTGGCGTCACTGACCAGAATAGCTGATAATGTACTCTCTCACTAAAAGCAGGATCGTACAGCCTGGTTCACTACTTGATCACTGCCTCCTACACAAATACGCTAAATAACCCTGGGCCCTGAGTTCCCAGCAGCTGTGAAGCAAATAACTGAAGCGGCGGTCAGATATGTGGCGCATCGCAGGCTGCTAAGAATCTCTGAATCCAGACAGGCCACCTTAAGAATCTGTGGTGCGACGCAGGGTGGCCCGAGGCAAACGAGTTTGCTCCGAGATCACTCAGCGGCGGCCACGGCAAGAAGACAGCTAGAAGAACGTGATGGCAGTGTTCATAAAAATAGCTACATGGACGCACGTGGTGTTGGAAACACTGGTGCATTTGCGATGGTTGTCAAAGATACACTGCGTGCGAACACTTCAGCACCACCAATCAGTAAACACTTTAACAGTGCTGCAGCGGCGTCAATGTGATTGTAGTGCTATGTTTTTGCCAACTCAACAAGCGCCTCCCACAGGCGTATTCGTGGGCGTATGTCTTCTTTCGAGCAATTTGTTTCATTTCAACTGCAGCATGAAAACTGCCACACTTGACGGCAGCAGTGGTGCACAGCTGCTCTGTCGTGCTCCGCGTTTCGCTTCTATTAAGTATTGGAGATATATATAAGAACAGGTGGTCTTGAGAGGGGCTCGCGTCATGGCGGCAACGTGGCTGTGATTGGATACGTCTTGAGCGCGGTGAAATTTAAAGCGAGAATTAGTACCAACGTGGTGATATCACTTCTACTTCTGCGGGGGTGCGTGCATTGTCTGACCGATTAAGAAGATAGATTAATCGCGCCACTCGTAGTGAGTACAGCTTCTCAGCCTGAGCCAACTAAGTGCACGTACTCGATCTTTTTCGCGGGTGTCTGTCAATCAAACTGACTGACGCGTGAAACTCGGATACACACTCATTGATATTGAGAAGGCCCGAGTGAAACTTGTGACTTTAATGCTGGTGTGACGGTCAAGCGTTTGATGTAGTGAACGCTAAGCGGCAGAATTTTTGCACATAAAATAATTTGGTGAGCTTACACTACTTGTACAAGGCTAGTAAGCTTGTAGTAATCTGGCTTCTTGCAGCAATTTAAGTTTGGTCGTTTACTCATTTGCGTGCTCGGCTTTGAAGTGAGAACCGCATCGCTCTGTCCTAATTTTGATAGTACTGATTGACTAACACTGAACGACCATTACACTGCGATGTTTGGTTTCCATAGGTAAGGCTTCAAAGAAAAGGGAATTATCTCGGGCGCAATTAGCAATACCATGATCAGTATGGAGCTATAAAACTTAATTATGATTAGCATGATACTAATTGACATCATATTAGTAAGGGCTAAATAGCATGGTTTTACTTAGTGTACCCTTGATTAACGCCATGTTAATTGGCATTGCTTAGATAGCTCATCACCTAGCACGCTTTAGTTAGCCCGGTTCTAGCTTTACACGGCTTCATCAGTACGCTCTTAAGATGTGGCGTGATTACCTCGGCCCTACCATGACTCGGCGTCATTAGCTTGGTCACAGCATGTTCTGGCTGACTAGCCAAGTAAACTGTCCAGCCAAATAGCTAATTTGGCGGCCACACGTGCTCGGGTGCTAGCGGCCGATAACCACAAAGACGACGCGCACTGGCCGAGCAGTCCACTAGAAGGTACAAGCTCATCATGATGCATCACACGTGGCCTCGGGTTTAGCTGCGATCGCGATGTTGTAAGATGCTGGGCCAGTACTGATCTCAGAGGCCACCGTGCTGATTATTCTAAAACAGACCTAATGCAGGCATTAAGAACTTCAAAATAAATTTAAAACTACGTGCCTCTCAAAAGTATCATCACGAAAAGTTTCTGACACCTTTACTGCATTGGTGCACTTTTGCACTCAGTGGAACGACAAAACAATGAAAGAGCATGCTTCTGCTTTGAAAACATTACCAAAATTAGTCGCCTGACCTTGACACAATGACTGGTTTCATCGTAACCAATTAAACATTGTGCGCTGAGGGGTGAATTTGACTGTTTTGCACTGTTGGTTCGTTCATAAGAGGGTGTCGCCAAAGCTCGAGAAGATGCTGAATTTAGCAAAACTCGGCCAATACAGCATAGCACCCCAGAGCTTGCGAATGCTGAACAATCTCGGATTCAGTGAGCGCTACAATTGCAATGCAGGATGGCCTGAGCTTCTCGGGCACCCGAGTTTTCTCAGAGCTCAGTTACGGTGGCCGTGGCATGAAGACAGGGCAAAGCTCATGATAGCAGCATTGCTAGAAATGGCTACACGAACGCGAGTGGCGTTGAAAACGCATGGGGAATATTTAAGGTGGTTATCAAAGAAACACCACGTGCGACCAAGTCAGCGCCGCCACCCAATCAAAATGGTAACAGTGCAACGGCGTTAACGTGAATGTTGCGCTATCTTTTTGCCAACTCAACACGCACATCCAACAGGCATGTTTGTGGGCGTTCTCTTTCGGACAGGTTCTTTCCTTTCACCTGCAGTATAGAAATTTCCACTATGGAAGGAAGCAAGGTTGCAGACGAAGCACTCTCATGCTGTTCATTTCGTTTATAATAAGTATTGCAGATAAATATAATGACAGGTGGTCACTAGGAGCGTGTGCATCTTGTCAGGAACGCGGCTGTGATTCGATGTGTCGTGAGGGCAGTGAAATTGAATGCGAGACATTTTAGCCGCTTGGTGATATAACTCTCACTTTTGCGTGCGTGTTTGCATAGTCTACGTGACAAAGCCGATAAATTATTCGTGCCGCTCGATGTGAGCACTTCTCCTCGGCAAGAGCGAACGTGGTGGGCGTACCCAATATTCCCGCGGGCGTCTGTCAATCAAACTGTAGGACGCATGAACTCAGATACAAACCCGTTGGTTCTGAGAAGGCCTGAGTTCAACTCGTGACTGTGACTGTGCCGGTGTGACTGTTAAGCGTTTGATGTGGTGAACGTATAGGCGTCAGCTTCATTGCTTAAAAATAATTTGGGAAGCTTACACTACTTGTGCAAGGTTGAAGCCATAGAGGAGTTTGTGATAACTAGCTTCTTGAGGCTTTTTAAGTTGGTTCTCTCCTCAGGAACGTGATCAGCTTCAAAGTGAAGACCGCATTAGTTTTGTGCTAATTTTGATTGTATTAATTGGCTGAGGCTTAACGATTATTACACCGAGCTGTATTGTCTTCATTATTAGGGCTTTGAAAGGTAATCATCTCCGACCTTACTATCGTGGCCATGATCAGTATCGAGCTATTCAACGTAATCCTGATTAGCAGGATACTAATTGTCATCATATCAGTAAAGGCTAATTAGCATGATTTGACTCACCCTTCATTAAATTAACATTGCGTTAGTTAGCGTAGTTTGGTTAGCTCATCAACGAGAATGCTTTAGTTAGCCTAGTTCCTGCTTTATATGGCTTCATTAGCATGGCCTCAAAATGTGGCTTAATTACCTTGTCGTTGTCATGACTTGGCGTGAATAGATTGATAATAGCATGTCCTCGACTAACTAGCGAAGTATACCGTCAAGACGAAAAATTGACACCATATATCCACGGAGTGATTGTTGATGAGTGGAGCGAAGCTTCAGAGGGTTAACGGTATAAACTGTGAATCGTCTCTCTGTCTATCTGTCTGTCTGTCTCTCCGTCTGTTCGTCCATCCACACCTGCTGAGTGAGTCATTAGCTTGGCGGTCACGTCCCACGAGCTAGGAGGGACACACCCATGGCTTAGGAGCTTCGTGCCCAATAGCTAATTACCCGCCGCACATGCTCGGGTGCTAGCGGGCAATGGCAACAAAGATGACACGCACCAGCCAAGCAGCGCATCAGAATGTACAGGCTGACCATGATAATGAGCCCGTGTTCTCGGGTTTAGCTGCAGTCACGATGTTGTAAGGTGCTTGGCCGATACTGATCTCAGAGGCCACCGTGCTGAATATTCCAAAAGAGACTTTGTTCAGGCATTATTGCTTCAAAATCAGTTTCAACACCCCGTGACTCTAAAAGATACTATCAATAAATGTTTCTCACACAATTATTGAATGGGTGCACTTTTGCACTCAGTGGAACGACAAACACATGAAAAAAGATGCATCTGGTTTGAAAACACCGCCCAACTTAGTCGACCATCCTAGACGCGATGACTGGTTCAATTGTAACCAATGAAATACAGCGTGCTTAGGGGCGGATTTTACTTTTTTGTACTGTTGGCTCGTTCTTAAGGGGTGGCGCCAGAGCTCGGGAAATTGCCGAGTTTCGCGAAACTTGGCCAATCCTGCATAGCACCCCCATGAACTTGGCTTCGCTTGATGCAAGAACGTTGTGTAATAAGGGGAGTCTAGATGTGCTATTCTAAGGATGGGAAGACGTTAATCGAGATGTAAAAAAAGCAAAAGGAGAGAAAAAGAACGGCAGGGAGGTTAACCAGCCTATAGGCAGCCGGTTTGCTACCCTGCGCATGGGAGAATGATAGGGGAGATGAAAGATAGAAAGCAGAGATTATTAATTGATTTGTTGGGTTTAACGTCCCGAAACCACTATTTGATTATGAGAGACGCCGTAGTGGAGGGCTCCGGAAACAGATAGAAAGCAGAGAGGGAAGAGAGATAAACACAGCACATTCGGCAGCACACGCGCGCACACTCAGTCATAGTCCAGTCTTGTTTTTCGTGGTATGTGACATTGCTGTTAAAGTCGCTTGTTCAAGTCCGTGTCGCGTTGGAATTTCAAAAAACCTTTCT